CACATTTGTGCCTTGGAAAAACCCAAAACAGGCAGTAGCCAATTTTTTCCCATCAGGCACCCCAGAGGAGCAGGGCATGGAGCCTGGGGCAGCCTGGGAAGGGACTCCCATATGGAAAAAGGACCCCAGTGACACCCAAAGCAGCCTTTCCCAGCAGGGATAGGAGAGTGGGGTGAGGCCAGCAGAAGAAAAAGCAGCTCCCAGTCCCAAATCCCACTGCCCTTCATCTTCAAAGGGCTCTTCTCATCCCCTTCCCTACCTGCTCCCGGCATCCCTGACAAAAAGGATGAGCCTCGCAGCAGGCTGCAGCATTCCAGGCTCCCAATTAAAATCAAAGGATCTGCAGAGATGGATCCCAGAGGGACACACCATCCCAAGCCTTCTCCCTCCTGCTCTCCCCAAAGACAGGTTCCCCGGGGGGAGAAGAGCCAAGGACAGGACACAGAGCATCCATCCCACGGCTGCCTCGGGATCAGGGGCTTTGGGAGCCCTCTGGACCATGGCAGAGGGGTGACCCAGGCCATGCCATCTCCAGCAGGCACAGACAGCCCCACTTCATCCCTGAACTGGCTTTATCCCCCTTGAGCACCCATCCCATGCTCCCCCAAACCTCACTCCATGCTACATCCCAGCAAACCCCAAGCCCCATAGCCCCACAGCCAGCCACTTCAGGGCTTTATTATCCTTTTTCCCCCAGTTCTTTTTTCCTTTTTCATCCTTTTCCTCCCCACATGGTGCATCCCCTTTTCCAGCCCGCTGCCTCGCAGTTTCCAGCCGGGAGAGCACCGTAATGACCTCATTATTTCCAGTGAGGAATCCGCGTGCTCAATTAGGCAGAGGAGGGTAATTATCTACTTGGAGAAGGTGAGGAAAAGGCAGGGTGTTTTGTCAGGGACCAGCACAGCTCCCAGCCCAGCCCCTGGATGCCCCAGGTGTCTCCAATGCTGGGCCAAGGGGAGCCCTGGGATAATCCCACTGTGCTCCCAACCCCACCTGGCTGGGTCTTCCCCACTTCACACCCCCCAAAACTACCTAAAATCCCCATGCCCTGCACCTGCAGCCTCCAGACATCCTGTTTAATGAGTAATTAACCTTCTTCCTTGTTAATTAACCGGGCAGCACCCCTGGCACAGACAGACAGGTCCTGGTTCATGGTGGCCAAATCCCAAAGTCATCTCCAAACTCCTTTTGGTGCACAGACCCTTGGGGTGATGCTCTTCCCCCAGACCCCTGCAACAAGTTTTTTCCTTGATATGGTTTATTTCCTATTACCTATTTGGGATTTTTTTGTTTTGTTTTTTTCTTCACTCCATTCCATGTTTTTCCACCTAAAACACTCCCTGCCTCTCCCACTCTGACAGCAGCAGGATGAGACGGCCAAACCCTTCCCCAGCCTCCATCCAACCCCTTTCCACCTTTTTGTGTCCAAAAAGGCTGAGTGGAACCTAAACTCTGCCTTTCCCACACCTTCACCTGGGTTTTAGGAGCCCACTGGAAAATCCCAGTGCAAGGAGCATCCCAGCAGGATCCAGCTTTCCCTGGAGAATCCCCCACCTCTCCACATCTCAGCCAGGGAAGGTGCAAGGGGCAACATTTCTTCACCCAAAGTACTTTCCCATCTGTCTCTCCACCTCCCAGGCACCTCGTTCTCCACCAAAGCCCAGCTCCCCCCATTCCCAGTTTGCATTCCCAGCCATTGCACCCCTTCCTTTCCACTGCACAACCTCTGGCTTCCCCCTGGAGCATCCCGAGGAGCCGGCCGGGATGCAGGGCACGCAGGGAGAGCAGGGATGGGCTCCTGGCAGGCTCAGCACCTGGGAACATCCCTGTGCATCCTGCCGGCAGCAAAACCACGGCTCGCCCCCCAGCACCCGCGGGGACCCCGATCCGTGGTGTTCCCAGGGATGGCGACAGCGATCCCGAGCCATTTTCCCCGGAAGCTCCTGGGGATGATGGTGGGAGCACAGGGAAACCCCCCGGGATCACCGGGCAGCCCCCTGCGGCTTTCCCGGCACGGAGGATCCCGCAGGGAAGCGGCAGCCCCCGGTGCCCCCCCTCCCTCCCAGCCTCATTTCCTGCCTCGCTCCTTCCCATTATCCCGATTTTACCGTAAGGCCCAAAAATTTGCAGGCTCATGCTGCTGCTCCGTTCGGAAACTTTGGGTTTTCCAGCCTGGAGGCTTTGCCAGCCTCCGGGACCGCTGGGACCCCCTCGGGAAAGCCTTTCCCTCCCTGCACAGGCTCTAAATCCCGTCCCTTTCTCATTTTTTAGGACAAAACGCGCTGGGCGAGGTCGGTCCCAGCAAGAACGCCACGGCTCAAGTTTCACCCTGCAAATATTGCGAGTGGCTTTGTGCCTCCCCGGGCAGCCCCGGGACACCTGCCCCGGGAAAACCGGGACACGAACGGAGCCCCGGGGCACCTGTCCCTGCGGAGCATCCCGGAACCCATCCCGGCCGCTGCCCGAGGGAGGGAGAAAAAAGGAAATTTGGTATTTTTACAGTAGAGAAGTTCAGGCTGAGAAAGTGTCGGGATGGGATGGGGAGGGTTGGAAAGGATGGGAACGTTGGGAAGGGATGGGAAGGAAGAGATTGTCCCTTCCAGCAGGGCGAGCGCCTATAAATGGCCTCTTTGTCATCTCAGCCAAGGCAGCGGGTGGAAAAATGAGGACGGAGCGGCTCCAGGGGGGACAGTGAATGTCCCGGCCGGTTCGGGGGCCCTCCTGGGTGTCCCCTCCTCCCGAAGGTCCAACGCCGGGGCGCGGAGCCCACCGAGGGGTCCCGCTCGCCCCAAACCCACGCGGGTGATGCGGGACAGAAACCCAGCGCTGGAAAGGGGGGGGGTGCTCCGGGTCCCCAGCGTGGCAGGGGGACCCCCAAACCCCTGGGGGACCCCCAAACCCCAGGTGCTCTGAGAGCACAGCGCGGGGGGGAGCCCCGGCACTCCCTGGGGACCCCCACACCCCAAGTGCTCCGGAGTGCCGGGGGAGACCCACCACGCCTTGGGGACCCCCAGAGCCCCCCGAGGCCCCGCTCCCGCTGCCGGGGGCATCCCCCCCCCTCCCGTTACCTTTGCCGTAGGCGAAGGGGAGGCGCAGGGCGCGGCCCTGGCGCACCAGGCTGATGTGCAGGTAGGTGAACCAGGCGGCCGAGGTGAGCAGCGCCAGCAGCAGCAGCAGCTTCAGCTGCTTCCGGAGCTTCTTCACCGGGAGCCGCGGCATCCTGCCGCCCGCATCGCCCCCGCCGCTACCGCCACCACCACCGCCGCTACCGCCGGGCTAACCCCGGCCCATGGGGCCCCCCGCCCGTCCAGCCCGCGCGCTCCGGGCCGGCCGCGGGGCGGCTGCGGCT